GGGGGGGGGGGGACAGGACTCATTCGTCTATTTGAGCACATTCTTCGTACCCTGGCCTCTCTATCCATTCAGCTAATACAAAGTTGGACACGTCATCTCTTTTCCCTCTAGTTTACCTAGCCCACCTAGGCCTGGGGCAATTCCATCTGGGGTCACTTTTCCCCAAGAAAGTTCCCACCAAGGTCCGCTCACTTGATACACTGCACACAGTGTGATCTGTCTAAAATCCATCCTGATCACTCAAGAACTTGTGATGGCTTTATCTAACTGACAAATAAAACCTAAACTCTTTAGCAAACTCTCAGATCTCCAGAGCAGAAGTATCATAATCTGGCCCTGGGGGACACCCAGAAACCCTACACCAAAGAAAGACAAAAGAAAGAGCATATCAAATTGGGGTTATCAAATCGGGGCATATCAAATCAGAGTTAGTCACTTTCTAGTTCAAAGGAAATAGAGCTAAAAAACAGAAAGAGTAAGCCAAAAAAAAAAAAAAAAAAAGAAAGAAAGAAAACAAAAAACACCCAACTTCCCGCAATAAGATACCTACTCTAAAGGGTTAACACTGCTAATGGTCCACGTTTGTGCATATGAATGGAGGGTTTCTGAACCCTTAAGGCTTTGCAGCTGGTGCTTCTCCTTTGTTCATTCCCTAACTTGAGGGCAGAAGGCACTGACCAAGGGATCCTAGGTGAGTATGCCCAGCTGGGGTGGGGAGGGGAGAAGAGAAATCACACTCTTTCATTAAAGTTACACACCCAGGACAGCAGCACCCCTCCTGTGTGGTCCCCTAGGAATCCAGGTGCCAGAGCGTAACCAGCATCCCCATGTAAGGCACTGGCCTTTGCATCAGTTGCACCAAGTGCTGGTGGGTGACCACGGAATGGCTACTTCCCTTTTCTCCTTGCGTCATTCTCATATTTCTCAGCAAAAGCTAACCAATAGCCACTGGAGTCCACAGGCCTAGTCTCCACACTGTTTCAGGGCCAGGTTACCATCCCTGCAGTCATCCAAGGCCAAGGGGAGGGAGCAGGACCAGGAGTTGATCTCCAGGGATTGTCAGGCATGCATGGTCCACTATATCTGAGGCCCCTTACCACCCTCTTTCAAAGAGAAGAATTACATTAAGCTTTGTGGGCATGCGGACCTGGAGTGTCTGATAAAAGATAGGTCCTTGGCAAAACAGCAGATGATGGCAGGAGGGCAAGGATGACTGGGAACCTTGTAGCATTTACACAGAAGGGGGCCTACACACTCCAGTCCTGGTGGGGGTGGGGCAGTTGATGAGAAAGCTAGCTGGGCCAGGGCATTCAGGGTTTGGGGTCCCCAACTCCCAATTCAGCCTCCCACTAAACACAATCAAATTCCCCTCTATATCTGTGACAGCTTAATCTCCTTTCACATGTGCTCCTGCTTGGTCTCACACACATATTCTCTCTCTCTCTCTCTCTCTCTCTCTCTCTCTCTCTCTCTCTCTCAAACACACATGCTCACACACATGTGCTCACACAAGGGTCTCACCTAATTTTGGTCCAAGTCAAAAAGGGGCCTTATGACTTTCTTTTGGGGAAGTAGTGAGAAGAGGAAAATAAAGAGGGGGAGGACAGTAACAGGGTTTAAGGTTGAGGTCATTACCCTAGAGATGGCATTGAGACTCCTTATTGGGATGTTTCTCATTCCTCTTTATTATCCTAGCACATAAGATGGCCCACTTATGGATAAATCAGAAAAATGTCCCCTTCCTCTAGTTTGCATTCCTGTACTACAGATCATGGTGTGGTGAAGGGAGTGTAAACTTGCCCCCTTCAGCTGGAGCCTTTGAGCAGGTTTCTGCCCTAGCCCTTTAGGTCTGCAGCATTCTACCACAAGGGAAGGAATTGCCTGACTGGTATGGAACTGTCTAGAGAAAATCTGACACTGGAGAACAGAGCCTGCCTAACACAGCTTCCGACCTCTGAAGGCACGCAGAGGGCCTGAAAGGCAGCAATCAATAACTGTGTTTCTAGAAACCCATGTCACTACACAGCACTTTCCTGGGGCTTGTTCACAATAGACCTGAATGCTGGAGTCTGGGCTGTGCCCTAACACAGAAGCCCATTTACTTCTCAGCTGCCATTCATACGCTTATTCCCAGTAGCACTTTGCTCTTTGAAGCATCAGGCTTGGAATAACACATTTCCCTCTTTGCAGCTCAGCTTCTGGGCAGTCAGCCTGCAGTGAAAGCAGCAGGCTAAATTGCAAGCATCATGCGTGTTTCCCTAGCAGCAGTGTGATGTCATACACAGAGAATAATGGCTTTGCTATAGGGCTGGTGTAGACAGCTTTGAGCCGATTAGGGTATAATAAAAATGTATCTGTCCACAGTGCCTGACAGTTTACTACATATTTTCATATCCATGATCATATTTGACTCCTTATAGTGGACTATGCTAACACCCAAACCTGAAAACAAATCAAGGAGGAAGACAAAAACTGACACTAATTCACAAAGTCACACTTGTACATTAACACACACAGTAATCCATACACACACAGTAACATGAACAGTCATGAATTCACCCACGCACATAGAAGCACTCACAGAAGGAGGAGCATACACTCAATTATATGTTAACACACAAACATGCCCATGCATGCATACATACACACATGAAAATACATATTTACTCATATACAAACATGATCACACACCATGAATATGCACACTAATACATAGAAACGTGTTCATATGTACACACAATCAGACATAAACATGCCTGCATGCACAGACATATAAATTCAATCATACCCAGGCACAATCTCTAACACACGCACATGCTTACACATTCAAACATATACGCATATTTACTCACTTACACATATTAATGAAGAATAACACCTATACACATATACAGAATATTCAAAATTCAGTGAAATGTGCAAATATACACATTTGCTAACTTACAAATATGCTGAGTTGTAAGAATACACTTAAAAATTTACACACATGAACACAATCACACATTCACTCACAAGCACTCCCACATACCTAAACACACTAGCAAATCTATTCATATGCATTAACATTCTCACACACAAACACTCCCACACACATAGAGATGTTCACACACTCACAAATACACCCACATCCAGGACCACACTCAGGTGTACTCACATGAACACACACACACACATACATGCCCACATATACACATGCACATGCACAAATGGACATGCTGGCATGCATGTTAAGATACTTACACACAGGCTCTTCCATTCACTCACATGAGCATGTTACCATATTCAGCCATTCACATGAACACATCATACAGCACACCAACAGGCTTACATGCATTCATGTCAACACAACCAGTTCACACACATAAACATGTTCACGCATTCACTTACACACAGACATTCTTAAAAAGCCACTAACAGATAAGTAGACTCATAGAGGCACTTAACCATCTTCTCTACACCACACATATGCTCAGATACATGCACATGCTTACACATTCACTAGCCCACAAACACACTCACACCACCACACAAACATATACACACAGACATGCTCACTTATTCCCTTCCATAAAAATGCAAATACACACATGCCCACACACTCACTCACATACAAATATGCTCAGAGTCCTATATTTCCTCCCACAAACCAACAGTTTATACACTTACATGTTGTATAAGTAAAACTCCTACACAATCCACTGAAGCACAGAAACATGCTCACACATTCACTCATGCAGATATGCTCACACACTGACACATACCTGCACACAAATATACTCACAAATTCAATTATACTTACACCTATCCAGGAATGCTGGCTCTTATTTTTGTGATTATTGATTTTCAATTTTTATTAAAAAATGAATATTTCATTTCTCTGACCACTTCTTTCCAGATTATCATGGACCAGGCCTTGCTCTTAGTGCTTGACCTGCATTAACTATGAGATTATTGCTATCATTGCCCCTCTTTTACCCATGAGGAAACTAAGACTTAGAGAGGGTAGGTGACTTACTCAAGGGCACACAGCTAACAAACATCAAAGTAGATTCAAACCTGGGTAGTCTGGCTCCTGAATCTATGATCTTCACATTTATCCCAACCTTCATGTAATAGTGTCTTCCTGTACTATAGGTGCCCCTGTGCCTGTGAAAATATCTATCTATGTCTCCAGCATTGAACAGATCTCAGAAACAAATATGGTAAGTGTCAATTCCAGCCACTGCATTGGGGACAGGGACAAGGAGCAGGGACTTCTTTTAAGCAAACTGTGGTTGTTCTGACCTGTGACAGAACTCAAGGTAGGTTTGGGAAACTGCAGCTCCTTGGAATAAAACATGAATCAATTGAACTCTTCTATCATATCATATTCAAAAATTCAGTTCCAAATGGATTATAGACACAAAAGAAAAGGCTTATGAAGCTTTTAAGAGATCATATAGGACACACTATCTTTGTGTCTTGGGATAAAGATTTCTTTTAAAAGCACACATAGTAAGCATAAATAGTGGTCATTCAATTATTGGTGAAATTCTCTCTAGCCAAAACCCCTGGAACTTTGGTTTTGCAAAACAAAACAACTATAACAAGTGTCAAAGGGTAAGTCAGTATAGACTATATTTATAACACCAAGCACTGATACCCAAAATACACATAATTCCTGTGAATTAATAAGAACATATTTAAACCAATATAACTGCCATGTGTATCTGAAAAGAATAAATTTAAAAATAAATAAAATTTTTAAATGATTAGAAAGTGTGAGCAGGAATTTCACTTTTTTAAAGAAAACTAAATATCTAATAACCATGAAAAGACACTCAACAGTGTTAGTAAAGTGTACAATGAAATCACAGTGGTTTCTAATGCTGCTGACAGTGGCATTGTTACTAATCTGGTGAGTACATCATTGGTGTGTTTGGCACTTTTGCATAGTTATATGGTTGCTGTATTCACATATGGGAATATTATCCAGGAGAGCAAGTGAGCAAATTATAATTACACACATCAGCCTGAACAGATCTCACAAATGAAGTACTGAGGAAAATAAATAAATTACAAATAACACACAGCATGACTCCATTTGGGTAAAATACAAAAATTGGGTCCAGCTAAGCATTATGTTTTCTAGGAATACATATATAAACAATAAAATTCTAAGCCAAAGCAAGAAATTTTGCACAAAATCTAAATTAATGGTTACTGCTGGGGGCTGTGGAAAATGTTTTTCCTAAAGGGACACATTATAGCTTGAAAGTTATTGGTAATGTTCTGTTTTTTAAACTGGATTTTAATTCCAGAAGCTTCGTTTTATTATTCTTTTCTTAAATATGCATATGTTTTGTGTTCTCATCTATATTCATCATGTTTCATACACTTTCATACACATGTGTGTGTGTGCACACAGAGCATAGAGAGCTGGGCAATCTTGTTCTCAACTGGGATATACTTTTCTTTCCCCAGGACTACACAATCACAATGATTTTTCATCAGACCTGGAAGGATTCTCGCTTAGCATACTATGAGACCAACCTGAATTTGACTCTGGACTATCAGATGCATGAAAAGTTGTGGGTCCCTGACTGCTACTTTGTGAATAGCAAGGATGCTTTTGTACATGATGTAACTGTAGAAAATCGTGTATTTCAGCTTCACCCTGATGGAACAGTGCAGTATGGCATCAGGTGAGTCCCCGCAGGGGCCTAGGGAAGTTGCAGCAGGCTCCCTTCTTCCTGATGTTTACCCCACAAATACATTCTAAAGGACACACACAGGAGCTCCTTGCTTTTCAAATCTGCCTGGCACTGCCTCTTCCCCACTTTCAAAGTTTCCTACAGAGAGCCTTGGCTACCCTGTACACAAAATGGTAATTGCTTCAAGGATTGACAGTGACTAGACTGGATTAGCAGAGGGGAGGGGCAGGACAAGGGGTAGGATGGAGCCTCCCAGCTGAGGTAGTAGAGAGTTTCTAGCATTTTGCTAGTACCACATGGGTCCACACCTCTGGCATGTGCATGGGTGTGCATAGAAGAGGGCTTGGGTTGCTGCTCACATCCATAGTGCACACTACATACTTGTCCTCCACAGCAGGTACACAGCCTTGGAAGCATCTACACAGCACACAGTTTTCTCGAAACAGCCTCACTGCTTCTTTAGCAAGCATACTTTCCTTTGTCTCAAGGGCCCTTCCCATTCTGGCATCCTACGATTTTCTGACATCTGTTCTTTGTTGCAGTGCTGCGGATCTCTCAGTCTTTGTCACACTCCAATTCTCTCTCTCTCTCTGTCTCTTCCCTACACATAGGTCAATCCTTGGGTAACTCCTGCAGTGTCCTCAGGAATGGTTGCTTGCTGGGGCTTGACTCACTTTTTCCTTCCTTCTTGTTTTCCTTGGCAGACTCACCACCACAGCAGCCTGTTCCCTGGATCTGCACAAATACCCTCTAGACAAGCAGGCCTGCAAGCTGGAGGTGGAGAGCTGTATGTATTTCTCCTGGACACTTTTCTTCCCCCTGACCTGTGGTAGTCAGAAAACCACAGGCAGAATTGACAGTGAGAGGGACAACATGTATCCTTAACTCCCCCCTCCCCTTCTCTCTCCTAAATATGTAGATGATCAACAGATAAATGATGGAAGGAAAGAAAAAAGAAGGAAAGATAAAAAGATACTAGTTACATAATTGATACATAGCTGTATATATATGGCATCTGGGAACAGGTGACCTTTAGAGTTTATTTAGTTCTATTGGGGAATTATGTTGAAGTCTGGGGGTACGAGCTCATACCATCTTTTTGCTATACTTTTCCTTCCTGGCAAAGAAACTCCAAAGTGAAAGTTCTTTTTCCAAGTGTTCAGACTTTTTCACCCATGCACAAACTGGGCAAACCATAAACAATCCCCCAAGATTGCAAATTTTATACACACTCTGGTTTTCACAGACTGCTCTGGCATGAAATCTGCCTGTGCCTATTTTCTGAGACTATGTTTCTCTCCGCTCCCCAGATGGCTACACGGTTGAAGATGTTGTCTTATCCTGGGAAGACAATGAGAATGCCATCCACATGACTGAGGAGCTGCATATCCCTCAGTTTTCTTTCTTGGGAAGGACGATTACTAGCAAGGAGGTGTACTTCTACACAGGTGGATCTGCCCTTCCTTCTCTCTTTTTTGGGCCCTTCACACCCCTATAAAATCTTGGGGACTTCTGCCTTTGACCCCTATGCTATATGTTGCCTCCTTTCTGTTTCCCTCATTCTTGACACATTCCATCCTGCCTTGATGAAGTCCCCATAGCTTACCTCTGCATATGAAAAGGATTTGTGCTCCCTTCAGGGCTGTTCAGCCTTCATGTTTGCAGCATATCTCTTCCATTCCCAAACTTCAGCCAACATGGATCAAGGAAGTAAGGAAGAAAGGAGGGAGAGCAATTTCTATGTCATATGGGTCTGATTACTAGGGTGTCTCCTTCCAGGTTCCTACATGCGCCTGATACTAAAGTTCCAGGTTCAGAGGGAATTCAGCAGCTATCTTGTACAGGTTTATTGGCCCACTGTCCTCACCACCATCCTCTCTTGGATATCATTTTGGATGAACTATGATTCCTCTGCAGCCAGGGTGACAATTGGTAAGTCCTGTCTCCATCCCAAGGAGAAACTTGAGTCATCTTTCTTAGAAAAAAAAATCAAAGTAAGGAAGGGAACCATGTGTATGCTGTGTAGACAAGGAAACGGGAATTTTTCTAATATGCGTTGTAGAGGTGCTCATCCAGTCCTCAAGGGACAGACTGACATTGGAAACGTGGATTAAAAAAACATGACAAAATCATGGCATTTGCAGGGAAATGGATGGCACTAGAGCAGATTATGCTAAGTGAAGCTAGCCAATCCCTAAAAAACAAATGCCAAATGTCTTCTTTGATATAAGGAGGGCAACTAAGAACAGAGCAGGGAGGAAGAGCATGAGAAAAAGATTAACATTAAACAGGGACGAGAGGTGGGAGGGAAAGGGAGAGAGAAGGGAAATTGCATGGAAATGGAAGGAGACCCTCATTGTTATACAAAATTACATATAAGAGGAAGTGAGGGGAAAGGGAAAAAAAAAACAAGAGAGAGAAATGAATTACAGTAGATGGGGTAGAGAGAGAAGATGGGAGGGGAGGGGAGGGGAGGGGAGGGGAGGGGGGATAGTAGAGGATAGGAAGGGCAGCAGAATACAACAGACACTAGTATGGCAGTATGTAAAAAAGTGGATGTGGAACCGATGTGAATCTGCAATATGTATTCAGGGTAAAATGGGAGTTCATAATCTGCTTGAATCAAATGTATGAAATATGATATGTTGAGAGCTTTGTAATGTTTTGAACAACTAATAATAAAAAAAGAATCAAAAAATAAATAAATAAAAATTTAAAAAAAGAAAATTGGTAAAGGGAAGGAAGAATCAAGACATTTTTCTGGCCATTCTATACAAACTGTAACTGAGGATAGCCAAATAGCTGATTAGCAAGAGTTTCTCTTTAAATAATTAGTCTAGTTAATAAATAAATAAATAAATAAGATTGACATGAAAAAAAAAAAAAAAAACATCAGAGATAGTCTTGGCATGTTAGGCTCAAAGTACCAGGATTCATTAATTATTGAATATGTGACTATATTTGTTAAATCAGGAAAAGGTAGACAAGTAATACATTTAGATAAGACAGGTATAATAAACATTTGATTAAGCAATATATCAAAACATTCTACTCTGCAGCAGAGGGCTTCTAGAGGAATGCCCTTGACAAGTGTCTAGTGGAATGTGGAGATACAAGCTCTCAGAGTCCAGAAAAGGAAGTGACCCAGGTTTTGCTGGCTGAAATTAACTATACCACAAAAGAGTTTTTTGAAGTAGGTTTTAAGTCTATGGCCATACCACCCTGAATGAACCCAATCTCATCTGAAGTAGGCTTTAAGGCACAGATTTAAGATTTGACATTCCCCAAAAAGTAAATGACTGGTTAAAGGCAGATATACCTTAAAAGTGGATTATATTGCAAGATGCCTGGGACAGAACCTGGAAAGACGAGGAAAGCAGCCAAAAGAGAGCCTAGAAATACTCGGGAAGATTTTGAGGTTCATGTTGCAGCATGGGGAGCCATGAAAACATTTTGAATAAGGAGATTAGCTCTCTGGTTTGTCTTCACCATCTTTTGGATAGCCTCTTTCTTTAGAAGCACATTCTGGGCTAAACCTTTAAATGTTTTAGGTTTTACAAAACTTCTCCAAATACTACAGGAAGTCCTGAGTACTGGAAGGCAAATAAGGCAAGGTGGAGGCAGAGTTATAAATCACAGTGAAGCATATGCTGAGCTTAAAAATGGGGGAGAAGAAACAAGCAGGGCACATGGGTAAAGACACTACCCCAAACATAGTGTTTGCTCCCATCCTATGGGATATAGGTGCAATGGCTTGCCAAGAAATTCAAAGGAGACTAAACCTGTGCTGTGTTGTTTATAGGCCTGACTTCAATTCTTGTCCTGACCACCATCGACTCACATATGCGGGATAGACTCCCCCACATTTCCTATATCAAGGCCATTGACATCTACATCCTTGTGTGCTTGTTCTTCGTGTTCCTGTCCTTGATGGAGTATGTCTACATCAACTACCTTTTCTTCAGCCAAGGACCTCGGCGCCACCGTAGGCGATACAGGAGACCCAGAAGAGTCCTAGCCCGCTACCACTACCAGGAAGTAGTGGTGGGAAATGTGCAGGTTTGACTTTTTGACTGACAATCGGCTTTCCCTGAGCACCTCTTGAGCCCAGGCTTAGTACTTGCCCATTCCTTGTTTCTTAGTTCTTTTAATCATTATGCACACACGTACAATGCACATGTACAACACATATACACAGCACACAGCCACTACAGATAACAAAGTAGAACTAATTATCATCACTCCTTTATAGATGATCATTGTCCAACAGCACAAGGCAAGAAGTGGCAGAGCTAGATTTCTCCAAGTCTTTGGGCTAAATTTGGTCCACTTTGCATGTTTCTGGGGCAGGTGATGAAGCCAGAGGGAAGGTGAACACAGTCAGGCTGAAAGGAAGACAGACACCAGAAGGGCTGGCCTGCCTACCCCACCTTCCTTGACACTTCAGACTCCCAAGGCCATGCTGAGGCTTTTGCTTCGGGCAGTATGTCAATGTCCAGCAACTTCCCTCCTTCACAGGGGGCCCAGGCCTGTCTGCTTGAGTGGCCACCATCCAGCACACAGCACTCCTGAGGGACTACCTGCCCCAGGGAGACAGCGGTTTAGTCGCCGCCATGACCTTCCCTTGCATGCTAACAGCCTCTTGGTCCTGTTCCTCAGCCCCTTGAGCTCCAGAGACCCCAAGAGGAGATGGCTCTATCTACAGTAACATTACAAGTGCTGATGAGGAAAGCCCCTTCCCTTTTCCCTCCCCTAGTACATATCCACCTAGGTGACATGAAACTGATGAGCCTATCCATTATCTCCTCAAAGGATGGCCTGATTAACGTGGAAGACGGATTCGGCTCTCTTCCCACCAGCCCAGCACAGGCCCCCCTGGCGAGCCCGGAAAGCCTCGGCTCTTTGGCGTCCACCTCAGAGCGGGCCCAGCTGGCCATCCCGGAAAGCCTCAGTCCACTGTCTTCCCTCTCAGGCCGAGCCCAGTTGGCCACTGGAGAAAGCCTGAGTGATCTCCCCTCCACCTCCCAGCAGGCCCTTCATGGCTATGGTGTCCATTTTAATGGTTTCCGCAGTGATGATACTATTACTCCTACTGAAATCCGAAACCGTGCTGAGGCCCTTGACCATGCTAAGACCTATGACGATGAAGACTCCGAAGATGACCTGAGTTTGGATGAGAACCATGGCCATGGCCCCAGCAGGAAACGCATGATGTACCGTGGCCAGAGCTGTGTGCTAGAAGGAGGCTGGGACCTTGATGAGATCCAGAGCTTCCATGATGACATCAATGTTGAGAGCCGAAGCCTTGACCTGGAAGACCAACGCAGGAGTGATACTCACAGTATCTGGAGCCTTGATGATGAGGAGCTCATGGCCGGTGACCAAGAGAATGATAGTAGCTCAGAGTCTGAGGATAGTTGCCCACCAAGCCCTGGGTGCTCTTTCAATGAAGGGTTCTCTTTCTACGTCTTTAGCCCTAGCCGTGTCCCCAAGATTGACAAGTGGTCCCGATTCCTCTTCCCTCTTTCCTTTGGCCTGTTCAACGTAGTTTACTGGCTGTACCATATCTACTAGTTCCCAGGGCCCCGAGCAGCAGAGCCACTATGCTGTGCTCCCTTCACAGTTTTGTTTTGATTTTGTTTTTCCCTTTTTCCTTTATTCATTTGATTTGGTGGTTATTCTGCAGTCTAATCAGTTGAACACTTCTCTTTATCATTGTGAGGTGGCAAGTAGATGGAAAGAACCCATTCTGGCGAGAAGGAAAGAAGGAGGAGTTGGAAAAGAAAGGAAGGATCTGAGTGCTACCCACAAACATTTCTGATGGCTTTACTGTCCCCGTTAGGTGTCAATTTTTCTTTTTCATTTCCTTTTTTCTTCTTTGTTTTTCCTCCTGGGGGTCATGGACCTTGCTCACCCTCTGCTTAGGACTTTGGGAGAAAGTGAAGCTGGGTTGGGCCGAGGTATGCAGGGGAAGAGCTAGCCACAGCTTGAAACTGCAGGCAACTGGCTGTAAGAAAGTTGGGGAGGATTTGGAAGTGCCTTTTGCCCATGATTTCATTGATGTTGTGGCACAGGGTTGGGAAGAAAATGAGGAGGTACAAAGGAGTATGGGGAGGTAAGTGAGGAAATGGCAGGGGGTCATGTCAGGTTGGAGAATGCCCAGGTTAAGCCGGCCCCTTTGGAGGGATTGGAACTTCCTTTGCCTATGTTTCTACTTCGGAAAGCTTGACAATGGGAACTTGATAACTTCTTTCTAGTCAGCAGTTAGCTTTCTATCAATCACTGAGTTGGACACTAGTTGGACACTAGTCACTGGGCCATTGCTTGGTGAATAAGCACTGGACTAGAAAGTTCCGACTGGCTATTTCACCTCTGATCTGGAGTAGCAGATGAATAACTATTGTGAATCTCTATACTAATCCTTTCTATTTGTTTAGTGCATGGTAAGTGTCAACAAGCTCACTGACCCTTCACGCTGTTGGACCCTCACAGGAGCCCTGTGAGCAAGAGAAAGTCAAGCACTTTGTCCCCAGTGTTCCAAGAAAAACGTGGAGCTTATGTGCCATGCTTGAGGACACTAGCTCTTCAACTTTACGCTACTCTGAACTGAAGAGTACCTTTTCTTTCCCTCCCCCTTGCAAAAGGGGGTCCTCCAGCAGAGTCTGCTTATCTATCAGACTGCCAACCACGTTCTACAGCACTGAAGCACCTCAGCAGGAAGAGGCTACTGACCAGCCAATAAGAGAGAACCCAGCAGATGGAGAGTGTGGGCCTTCCCACCCAGCCTGTATGTGAACTTGCCAAGCAGCACCACCTTGATGAAGGGCATGAGAGAGTGAGCTTTGCCAAGCACTCAATCCCTGTCCCCTCTTGCTCTCTAGGCAGCCTCTCCTGCAGCCCCTCACCTCTCCACCCACCCACCCCCTTTTAACTGCTTCTGTGTAGGTATTTCTTTGTGTGTGTCTGCTTACTTATGTTTATTTGATTTGAATGGGCAGGAAAGAATGTATGCTTGAAAGGGTATGCATTTCTTGTTAGTGGATTTTCTAGAACCACCAGAACTCCCATGGCCTGTTCCCACATTGGATAAGCTGGTTAACTGTTTCTTTCTAATCCCCCTGTTCCAGAGAGCAGGTTCTCCTGGTTCCCATCCATTCCTTACTCCTCTTTCCCTGCATCTGTGCTGTGTTCTGGATTGAAGGCCCAGGGGAAGCACATGTAGTCCTAAGAAGTGGTAATATAGTGCCTTGAGGTAGGTAGTGCTCAATTTGTGGGATAAGCTAAGTGCTGAGCATTTTGCTTGGTGCTATAAGGGCATGGTTTAGAGAAAAAAAAGTAGTCACAGGATATCTAAGATTGCCTATTTTTGAACATCCCACACAGAGAGATCCAGATTGAAGGGAGAGCGGTGACCTCACATGGTTATTGGAACACTAGCTTCCTGGAGCCTAAACATTGGTTGCTTGACTTGGATTCGGTCTCCTGGAGGGGATTCGAACCCTGTGGAGGGGAAGTAGTTCATTGAGGTGAAGTCATAAAGGGAAGTCAGAACAGGGGGAAAAAATAAGACACAGCAATGCATAGGAAGACTTCACAGCACAGAGGAAGGACAAAGAGGCCAGTTGTAAATACCCACATACTAGATATATTAGACCTTAAAGAGAATATCTTGCCCTAGTGTGCTGCAATGAGAGCAGTTGAACTCTCCTGCTCCTCATACTCCGTGAGGTTAAATGTCAAGGTGAGGTGGAGATTTGGCAATGACACAGTTTCAGGAACTTGAACTTTCAGAGATTGCCATGGTTTTGATCCAATTGCCAGCAAAATTATCCTGCAAATTGCCAGATCTCCCCTTGACATGTTCTGTGTGTGGTCTGTGGTCAGCGTCCTTATTGAGCCCCATCCTCATCCACCCCCACCCTCTTCCCTGATGTGCAGGCACACCCCTCCAGTTGGCTGCCAATGTCCCCTCCCAAACGTCTCCCTATACCAAGTAGCTCTAGAATTGCACATCATCTGGCTGCATGCTCCCAGAGTTCAGCTAATCAAAGGGCCCTTGGTAGTTTGGAGCTTAGGCAGAGGGAAGGGTCTTGCTGAGTGTGAGATGGAACAACCCCACTTTTTCCTCTGCTCACCTTTCCTTTTTTTCCCTCTCCTCGACTTTCCCCATAGAATCCCTCCCTCAGGAAGGACGCCCCTGTCTGTTTTTCCAAATTGTTTTATCGTGGGGATCTCTGACATGTTTCCTACCAAGTTTTATGCCCATCCCATCTGCCACTGTGGGGTGCCTTTGCAGAGGTAACAGACAATCTCTTGGGTCTTAGTGGAGCTTATCCAAGTATTCTTCTAATTCTTGTCATCTGGTTAATAGCAAGGCTGCAAAATCTTTGCATATTCAGAGCTGAATTTTGCTGAGACTATGCTCATTCCTAATGAGGTTTGCTCAGTCTGTATATACAACAGCTAACCCTTTGAGCTATTAACTACTGAATGCATCCACTAAGTTCTCCCCTGCATGATACCCTGCTGTGGTGATGTGCAGTAACTTCGTATCTACTCAAAGCCCAGCATCAAAGGAAATTGTGACTTGTCGTACTGAAAGTACAGTGTGTGTTTGTTGTATAATGTCCTGTGATCAATATGAAATCTATATTATCAGTGTTGGGTTTTCAGGGGGGAGGGAAGGGTGTTAAAGTATTTTCCTGAATACTTAAATTAAGAAATACTCCCAAACGGTCAGGGTCACCTCTATGGACTCCATTTGTTTGAGACTTTGCACCCACCATTTTGCCAGGCTGCATCCCCAGGGTCAGTTGTCATCAGCAAGGCTTAAGGTGCCAGAATTTAATGCAACCAGCTCTCCTGTCTGACACCAGGCAGTCAGGGGATTCTGCTGAAGGCAGCCAAGTCAGTGACATGCTGGAAGTATGAACTACAGTAAAATTGTACATACCAGGTCTTCAGACAGTAAAAACCAAGAAAAGAAGAGCAAGACTATGACCAAGGTGTCCTGGATTACCTGACCCACAAAAGGGCACAGAGAAGCAGAGCCTCTTGAGATGAGTGGGAGCCTTCTTTGTCCTAATTAAATGTACATTTTCCCATGACCTTGACCAGTCCTGACTTTAAGAAAGTAAAACACAGAAAAGCATAAAATTATACTTGTGAAAAATATAATGGAAAAAAATTTGTAAATAGCAAATAAAGAAAAATAAAGGTCTACAAAAGCAAATATCCTGATGGGCCATTGTGTTTTCTCTCTGTTTGGATTGGGAGGGACTGCCCAAGATGTCTCTCTGGGTCTGAAAGCCTCTGGTTTTCATGGTTCACCATGGCCTTCCTACAGCTCTGCATATGCACCACCTCATAACCTAGGACATTTGAAGCCAAGATTTTCAAGTGCAGGAGAGTCAGCAACATTACAGTTGATTTAACTGACACCTTGGCACAAAGCCCTTCTTTTTTTATTTTTTATAACTGTAGATGGACACTGTGCCTTTATTTGTCTAGTTTTTTATATGGTGCTGAGGATCGAACCCAGTGCCTCATACATACTAGGTGAGCACTCTAGCCCTGAGCTACAACCCCAGCCCACATAGCCCTTAACCATTTAAAATAAGAAAAAAATTAAGCCAGCAAGCCATCATGGTGCCAAAAGGGCCATTCTTGTTCAATTTAGTGGGGAGAAACAGGAAAAGTAGTCTTTATAAAGAACAAAACTGTTTCTTAAAATATCTTTTGCCAATGTGGTTGTGCAGAATAGAGAAGAGAAAGCCCTATGTGGGTGGGAAGAGGGCATGCTGAAGTCTAACATGGTTGCCAGGTCACATTAAAACATTCTACTGATAGGGCCAAGGGTACTCGTCATGGACCACGTTCTTCAGTGACTCTTCAAGGACCTTTTGAGGAAACCCTTATATTTGCAACAGGGACCCTAACCCACTGATCTTTTCTGTGGTTCTATGGTGGCCAAAGCAGGCCTGGAGGGCTGTGCATGCTTAACCCGAACAGACTGCTCTTTTGGTCTGCCCGCAGCTCCAAGGTGGAACCTACAGGATAAAAGAGTTTCTTGGGTAGATCTTCTCTGGGCTTCTAACTTTCAGCAGCCCTTGGCAACATGCCTTGTACTCCTGTCCTCCTGACTCTCCTTCATGCAATCCAAGCTCCCAACTCTCCGTGTTCACTAATGCTCAACCCAAGGCCTTATTACCTGTAAAGAACCCTGTTGATACACATTGTTACTGGCAGCCTTTGCTGGTGAGCTTTTGTGATATGGTCAGCTCTGCATGATCTTCCCACAGATTCCACTGTGACTGTCTGAGATGCCTGGCAGCCTTTTTGCTGAAAAAAGCTTCCATGCCATAGAGGTCACAGATATCCAGGGAAGGAGGAGATGTTCATGGCGGGGACTCAGCTTATGATGAGCTGCCACATACTGTTCTGCTGGCAAAGCTCTTGCCAAAAGGCCAGCTTCTGAAGGTGGCCCAGTACCTCAGATAGAGCTCATAGCCCTTGAGTGAGCCTGATACCATCAGCTTCACTACTCTCAGTATGAAGGAGCCCTTACCACAACTTCCCAGGCTTTCAGCAAGGACTGTCTTGCCAGCCTCCCATCTTTAC